AAGCGCTGCAATTTCTGTTGCATATGAGAAACATCAAAGGGCAAACGAAACTGAAAGCATAACGAAACAGCGCTTATGGAGTATACTCGCCGCGTCAGCACGAGCGCGAAGCTGCGCACACAAAAATGACGCGCATATTGAGGAAACGATGGATGGTTTTCAAGCGAAAGTCAAGTAAAAGACCGCTTCTTAAACCAGAGAAGGTGAACATGCTGGTATTCTTGTGAGGTTCATGTGTTCAGTAGTCGCGCAGAAACAGATGTTTGACTGTCCACATCAAGTGTGTGATCCACTTTGCATCATATTCTGGATAAGAACTATTTGTTTAGACAGGAAGAGACCTTTTGACTGACTTGTAAAACAACGAACCACAGTTCTTTTACTTCGTGCCTCAAATGAGTCACTGGGGAAATCGCTGGTTGTGTTCTTCAACTGTAAGTCGTGTCTGCCAAATGAATAAATGTAAATAAAACGTTGATGCCATGAAACCATTGCAACCTTCCAGCGATTAATTCTTCCTCAGAAGCGCTCATTTTGCAGTCTGTTGCTTGTAAGCATGACTTTACGATTGTATCCGCACAGGCACATGCCCTTGTGTGTTGTCATGTATTTGGGTCAGTCATGTGATTTTATTGTGTGATTTTTGCAGGGCTGCTGCAGTGACGCTGAGGCCCAGCAGGCCGGACGCTTTCACACCACGTCTCAGCCCATCCAGTGTGAATTACCCACAATCCCCGTCCAGATCGGCTCTCATCTCCTCCGAGGAGTTTCTTTCAACGAAAGCGCATCAGATAACCTCAAGCTTAAAATGGTACCAAGAACACACACTTATGAATGATGACTAGAGATGGGATGAGATCCCAGCTGGAAATGTTTTCCTTGAAAGCAAGTACAAAAATAAGAGAGGATAAAACTATGTGAAGCGTGCAGATCTCAGGCTGTTTGTTTTACCCATTTGTGAAGATTTCTGGCTCATATTTCACATCCAAAACAGGAAAATTAGTCTCTTATAAGACCATTTAGCAGTTTTTCATAATTTTCATGACAAGTAAGCATGTTCTCCCTTTAAATGCAATACACTCTATTGGTCAAAAGTTTGGGGTTAGTAAGATTTTGGTGAAAAATTAATACTTCTTTTTTTTTTTTTTTTTTGCAAGGATGCATTAAATTGATCAGAAGTCACAGTAAAGACATTTATAATGTTACAAAACATTTCTGTCAATTAAATGCTGTTCTTTTAAACTTTCTATTCATCAAAGAATCACAGTTTCCACAAACTGTTTTCAACATTGATAATAATCAGAAATGTTTCTTGAGCAGCAAATCAGCATATTAGAATGATTTCTGAAGATCATGTGACACTGAAGACTGGAGTAATGATGCTGAAAATACAGCTTTGATCACAGGAATAAATTACATTTTACTGTATATTCAAATAGAAACAGTTGTTTTGAATTGTAATATTTCACTGTTTTACTGTATTTTTGATCAAATAAATGCAGACTTTCAGAAACATCTGAATCAATCACATTAAATTTTTGAATGGTAGTGTTTTTTAAATTGTGCAGTAAAACATTCATGCACATTACAGTAAAGAGAATCATCTAAATTCAATGAAACCTCTTTCCCAGCATGCTGTGCTGCAGCTGATCAAGGATGCGGTGGATCAGAACGGTGTGGCCGTGCGGGACGATTCCCCCGTCACAGAGGTGCTGAACCAGGTGTGTCCCTCCAGCTGGAGAGGAGCCTGTAAGACGGCCGTTCAGCTGCTGTTTGGACAGGCTGGACTGGTGAGTTTCACACACTTGACTGACGGCGTAAAGTCTGATCCACATTGCAGCTTATTTCAGACAGGAATGGGCCACTTATAAGACATGTATAAAACCATCAACCACTTTTTTGTGCTGCATTTACATTTATACATTTATTCAGAGTGACTTACATTGCTTTAATGCATTCAAGGTAGTTTACATTTGATCTGTTTATCAATGATGTTTAGAAGTGGGTGCATATGATGCAATGATCTATCTGTAGTAGAATGGACTCATGTATCATCATATAATATTTGCTTGCTTCTAAATGTGTCTCAAAGAAAACTATGAGTTGTCCTTGAAACATTTGATTTCATAAACCTCACGAATGTTAGCATATTCAGTAGCTAATCTGACCTGAGAAGTGCTCGTAACAGCCTAGGAACCTTTTGTTTTCATGATTTCATTATTTTTATTAAAATTGGGTCAATTTGAGTCAGTTTCAGGAAAAGCATCTTCTTTTCTATGAAACTTTCTATCAACCAATATTAACTAATATGTCCAATCCAGAACAGTGTTATTTTAGTATCAAGATTTTTTTTTTTTTAATAGATGTTCTTTTCATTTTAAATTTAAAGTTGTAATTTTGTTGTTTTTGTCACTTGTATTTATTTATTTATTTAATTTAGTTTAAAAAAAAAATTTTTTTTGTTTGGAACTACTTTATATTGTGTTTTTGACTACTATGTACTTACATGTAAATTAATAATTTGATACAATGCACTCTTGTGTACCTACATGTTTTTACATGTACTTATTTTTAAGAATACCTTTTCTATAATTACATCTGTAATTAATTTCTATAGTAGTAGTGGTAATATTAATTAACTACATGTACTTACTGTATGGTTAGGGTTAGGATTTGGTTTAGGGTTACTTGCATGTAATTATGCATAATTAATTGTTATTATAATAGTAAGTACATGTAACGTGTAACAAGGACACCTTAAAATAAAGTGTTACCGTAGTAGTTAAAGTGGTTAAAGACACCTAATATGAAGTGGGACCCGGTTTTTAAATTTTTATTTAAGTTTTACAGTACATATGGTTAAACTGAGTAAAAATAAAACTAATTACCGAAATAAGCTTACATTTTTCATTAACATTTATTTAAATTCAAGTAACAATTTTTTTTTAATAACCCTGATATTCCAGAATAATTTCATGAACTCACTGTCAGCAATGTTCACACGAAAGAAAGAAAGTCTGAATGCTGAGGATTTGGAAAAGGCCTCCGGCTACAGGAAAATAATTTCTGAATAATCATAAAGTGGTTTCCATGACGCTGTTTCTGTCCTTGCCGTGTGTGTGGTCAGAGTGACCGTGACCTTTGGGCGCGCATGTGTGTGTTTTCAGTGGAGAGTCTCATTCAGTCAGTCGAGTCACATTGAGGATACACCTGCGCTATTAATAACAATAGCCCACTTCCTGTTTAATAGGAAACGCCTTCTCCGTTTCAAACGCCACTGCATGGCGTGGCTTCACAGCCTCTTTTCAAGAACTGTGGGAAATGTTGCATTTGTGTTTTCGGATGGAAATGGCTCTCTGACAGGATGAAAAGCCGGGTTACTGGGGCTCTCAAGCGTCCACTTAGTTTGTCTGAGAAATGATTGATTATGATCACTGGACGAGCAACACATGATTTATACTGGCAGATCTTCATGACGGTGTGTACAGTACAGTTATTAAACCTGATGATGTGTGTGTGTGCAGGTTGTGGTTGACACGGCTCAGATTGAGAATAAGGAAGCTTACGCCCCTCAGATCTCTCTTGAAGGATCTAAAGTTGTGATCCAGGTTCCTTCTACATGGTGAGTAACCGTATACGGCAATATTTATGGTAATTATAGCAGTTAATTTAATCTCAGTAGCACCGTCAGTAGATCCACATCCTCTCTGGCTGCAGGTTACTAGAGTTCAAGATGCTTTATTTGCCATTTATTCAAAGTAGAGATGACTAATGCTGTGTGTGAATAAAATAAACCATTATGCTCTTAATGAAGATATTAACCCTTGTTAATTTGGGTCAATTTGAGACAGTTTCAGGAAAAACATCCTTTTTTTCTATTAAATATTAAACTGAAAGAAGTTATATAATTGCTAGATTTTTATATTGTTGTGAGAAAAATATAGTTAAATAAAAAAAAAAAAATGTTGTATTTAATTTGTTTGATCTATTTTCTCTGCTCCTAAGTTTACCATGAGAACAGCCTTTCCTGGTGAAATAAAATAAAACTGTAAAATACAACCGTAAAATAAAATGGATAACAGTGAAGTCTAATCTTATCTTCTAAATGTACTTTTTGTCTTGCAGGTGTCTGAAGGAGGATCCAGCGACGATGTCTCTGCTGCAGCGCAGTCTGGATCCCGAGAAGACCCTCGGCTTGGTGGACGTGCTTTACACGGCTGTGTTTGACCTCCAGCGCTGGAAGGAGCGCAAGTCAGTGTCAGCATTAGTGCTGCAATCATAACTTCATACCTTAGTGCGCTCAGTGAAAGGAAACCAGAATTTGCCACTTTCTGTTAAATCTAGACTTAGTTAATTGTAGACCGGGTTATTGTAGTTAACTAAAACACAAAAAAACATTTTTTTTTACTCAAAATAAATTAAACGCTAACTGAAATATAATGTGTGTTTTTTTTTTTTAATAGTTCAGCAAGTTGCAAAGGCAACCTTTCTCATTTTCCTTTAGTTTAACTTGATGTGCTAAAATATGTAAAATTAGAAGTGGAAAAAAAAACTATATAGACATTAAAAAAATGAAACAAAAAAAGTAATAAAAAGGAAATCTTTTCAGAAAGACATTTCTTATATACAGGTATATAATTATAGTTTATTATTATTATGAATCTTTTTTCCCCACAAAATCCTTGTAAAATAGATTCTATAAAATAAAATTGTTATTCATTTAATATAATATAATATATATATATTCATCTCGTCTCTGTAAAATGCATATTAAAGCAGCGTTCATAAGCGCCGCCGCGCTGCTTTGTTTACGGACGGTAACCAAGGAAATGCTGTATTGCTGTTCCATAAGAGCCACCTGCTGTCAGAGAGTGAATCTGCGTCTCATTCAGAGCTTCTGCTGTCTTTAGCCCTATTCGCACGGGATTAGTATTATCTGGGGACCTTGTGTGATTTTTAAATTAAAATACTCGAATTTACTGACTGACTTATCTCCCGGATACAATGTCAAGGCTTTGAGAGTCCCGTTCTATGGTCCGGTAAAATGGATAAAATTAAAAAAAAAAAACAATACAGTTTCGGGCCCTGTGAAATTTACATTTCACCAGGTTAAAATAATATCTCAAGCTTTATGCTTGATTTATTTGTAACACATTAACCTCA